GACAACATAAATGGAGGTATTATGCTAAGTAAAATAAGTCAGATGGAAAAAGACAAAAAAAATATGTTTTCACTTATACATGAATATAAAACAAAAAACTAACAAAACAAAAACTACAATATAGTTAAAATTTTAATCTGGAAAAGGATTTTTCCTTGGATTATTCATGGCATTGATGAAATAAAAGTAAATATCTCCAAGTTTACTGTCCATAAAACCAGTATAGTAAAAAGTGGATCTGTGGAATCATTCTGATTCCTTTCCTGCAATCTTCAGCATCATTTTTCACATTAAAGATTAGGAAATGTATATTCAGTGAATGGTCTGGCCAGTAGACAGACAATGGTTTGGCTCTAAGGCTGGAGTTGCTAAACTTTTTCTGTAAAAGGCTAGATAGTAAATATTCTAAGCTTTGTAGGCCATACCGTCTCTGTCACAACCACTGAACTTTGTTCTTGGAGTGCAAAAGCAGTCATAAACAACTTGTAAGCCATAAACATGGCTTTATTCATGGCACTGAAATGTGAATTTCATGTAATTTCATGTCACACACACGAAAAATCTTTTGATTTTTTTTCAAGCATTTAAAAATGTAAAAAACCAGACTTAGCTCATGGGCTGTGTGAAAACACAGGTGGTGGGCTGGGTGGTAGTTTGCTGACCCATCTCTAAGGTGTGATGAATCCTGTGGGACAAACTGCATCTGCTAAGACGTTGCTTAACACAGCTACCTTGAGCGCAGTTTCTGAGTTTGTTCTGCGCCTTAGAGAAGTGCAATCAAAACCATGAAGCCATGAAGTGAAAAAAAAGGCGAGAAGGACAGTGGCAGGCTTATCTCAATATAACATGTTTATGACAGGACATCCCCTGTCTAATAGGGTGCATTATGAGGTAAAAGCTGGTGTACTACCACATGTGTGGCGTGATGCTCCCGGCGTGCAGTGGGAGGATACTGCCTAGATCCCCGTCCTCTATTCCCCGGGAAGGGTGTGCGTAGAATTATCTATTGTTATTGGTATCAGATGCTCTGGGGGAAAAAAAAAATGGGCTTTGGGGTTTCAAAAATTCAGTCCTCTTGATAGACAGTGTTTCCAAGTCCCGATTTTTAGTTTCAACGCCTTATTCTCTGAACCGTGAACCGCAGTAAGGACTCTTTAGAACGAATACATGGCAGGGCCCCTGTCTTGGGGGTTGGAAGGAAGAATTGTGCTTGTGTGTTTATCAAGCGTGGCCTCTCTTCTGGCAGACAGATGAGGCCACCATGCTGGTGACTCAAGACGCGCAAGTCATGTTCTCACCCCCACTTCGCCTATCTAGGCTCTTCAGTGTGGACGGCCAAAGGCCCGAGAGATCGCACGCACACTGGGAGAAAGGAGCTGAGCACGGCTCACACGTTAGAGGAACCAGCTTCCTAACTGACCAGCCAGCGAGGCTCTCGCCCGAGAAGCGTTACCAGACGTCCCGGAAGAAGAACCAGACCTTAGAGACAGGTGCGTCAAGCCCTCGGGGAAGTCAGGGCCCTCTGAGCGCCAGTTACAAAGTTTCTGTCTGCAGGGCCCTAATGGTGAGCCGGTGGCCCGTGACAGCCGGTCCAGCCCTCCCGGACACCCCGCCGGGCTCTCCCCCACCCCTCGTCTGTCGGCTCCCCGA